AAAAAAAACAAAAAAAAAAATGTCAGGTTCTGGAACCCTGTTGGGTGGCCAACGGATTTTATCATATTCCTGTTTCTACCATATTACAGATGTTTGCCTTTTAACTGCGTCATTAAATCTAAATCTTTTGGGGACTGTTATTTAACATAAATAACACTTATATTTCAAATTCCCAAATTTTAATAATCGAAAATTACCTTTAATTTTATTTCTTTTTTATCAAATCTTTACTAGGACAATGTGAAAATGTTCACTTTAAACAGTAACTGCCGGTTAATGTTCGCCGGTTTGTTAACATAATATTTCAATCAAATCAAAAAAAACACGACATCGTTTCGGTTGGTTAAAATAAAAAAGTTAATAAAATAAAATGCCCTTTCATTTTCTGGGGTATAAATGTAGAAAGAGAAAAAGAAAATGAAGACCCCTGTTTTAGCTATTAAGACTTCAGCGGAAAGATGATGAAGCAACGCGGCCCGAAATTACATCATTACATCAATCTTGCCCCGATAAATGTTACCCTTGAAAAATAATTAAAATTATCAAGTGTAATTTCTAAGGGAATAATTGGGCAAATAAATGCAAATTAATCAATGTTCATACATTTGTGTATATAAATACATGTATTTAGAGTAACATGTAAATCTTTCAGAATTATTGAACAATAGAGAGAAAAGACGTCCATCCTCCGCAGCATAAACTAAATCAGACGCACACGTATATCTAAAATGTGAATTTTGTTTAATAATAGTAACAATTATAAAAATAAATAAATAAAAGTGATAAAAATCTTTTCTGACTACACTATAACTTGGACAGATATACCCCAGGTGAAAAGAAAAAAAAATCGTGTCATATATTTTGCTGCTTTCTAAATATATTGTCTTTGTGTTTTTTTACGGCCAAAATGATTATTAAATAAAATGATATTAAACAAAACAAGACATTTGCATGCATGTATGCATGCTGTAAGTTATAGAATATCATCTGCTCACGGAGAACAGTTTTCCGTTTAAGACTGGGACAATTCAATTTTAAAGTCGGACCTTTTATTAAATGTAAATCATCTCGTTAATTTATTTTCCTGTCTTTTCCTTTTGTTAATTTTTGTTCCCCTTTCCTTTATATTGTTGTGTATGCCTTCTGCACTGAAATATGAATCAGAAAAACCACGACAAAAATAAGGCTTTTGAATGAATCTCGATGTCATTATATTTCCATGCGTCTACTGTCTCACGTTTGGCACACTTTCTGTGTTGATTTCTCACAGTTTGAGGGCGAATTGATAATATCTGCAAGACTTGAAGATTCAAAGGGCATTTTTAAAGCTATCTCTTGAAATTTTTCACTTAAATCGTAACTGATAATCGTCGTTTCAAGCACATTTTTCAACTTTTATCGTACCACGAAGTTCCGAGACAAAGGTTCAGATGCCCATTTTCCTGAATTTGAGCACAGTATTAAGAAAGAATTTAAGAATGTAAATAGATAACATGTTAAAGAGATGACTGCAGGTTAGGACTCTGCCTATATTTTGCGATCAAATCCATCTGCCGAGTTGCAGCGCGGATGCAAATACCCTTCTTGAAACACACGATACATGAACGTACATCGACCTCGGCGAACTGGATGTTTTCTCGGGGGTCCGCGCTCGGTGTAAACAAAAGCAGCAAGTGCGAGTGACCGAGCTATTTCATTCCCAGCTGTTCCCGAGAAGTAAACCATTATCCCGAAGTAGCCATGGCAGATTCCGTTGCTCCAGCCAAGTCTCCAGCTAAGAAGAAGGCCACAAAGCCTAAAGTGCCTGCTGCACACCCCAAGTACATAGACATGATCAGCGCCGCCGTTTCAGCCCTGAAGGAACGCGGGGGCTCATCCAGACAGGCCATTCTCAAGTACATCATGGCCAACTACAAAGTGGGCAACGATGCTAATTTCGTCAACGCTCACCTGAAAATGGCCCTGAAGAATGGTGTTAAAAAGGGTGCTCTCAAGCAGGCTAAGGGTACAGGCGCCAGTGGCTCCTTCAAGCTTGGAGAAAAACCCAAGACCGAGAAGAAGCCTAAAGCCAAAAAGGTTGCCAAACCCAAGGCAGCTAAACCTAAGAAGACCGCTGCTAAGCCCAGGACACCCGCCGGTGAGAAGAAGGCCAAGACTCCTAAGAAGAAGGCAGCAGCAGCAGCCAAGAAACCAGCCGGACCCAAGAAAGCCAAATCTCCCAAGAAGAAGGCGACACCCAAGTCCCCAAAGAAGGCTGCAACCAAACCCAAGAAGGCCAAGACTCCTAAGAAAACAGCAGCCAAGAAAACCAAGACACCCAAGAAGGCAGCAGCAAAGAAATAAGCAGTCTGAGCATCCCTGTCAGTCTGCATCCAAGCTTATTAAAAAAAAAAAGCCCTTTTCAGGGCTACCAAAATTTTCAGAAAAGATACCTCAGTTACAGTCGTTAGAAAATGTTTCAACATGTATCTCTATCTCATATTCTATATTTTGTTAAACAATTTCAAATGCAGCATGCCCTCTTGAACAACAACAAAATAAAAGTATTTGAATGTATATATTCCTGTAAAAAGAGAGAGAGAGAGAGATTTCATAATGATAATATTTAGAAACAGAGAGCATGATTTCCTATATCAATGCATTAAATGCAGATATGATTTTATAATGAATAAAATCCTTTTTGATAAGCATTAATTTTATCAAAATAGAAAGGTTTGTGTTTGTTGATACATTAAATGAGACATTTTTAGGATGAAAACTACTGCTCTGTGGGGAAAAGCAGGTAATCCAACAACAAAATGATAATTATAAAATAATTATAAAATATAATAAAATGATAAATTAAACAAAAATAAATAAATAAAAAACCACGGAAGAGTATATCTTTTATTTCAATCATTTGAATTATCATTTGATGTCTTAGCTGCACACCTTGTCCAATAAGTCATAAAAACATTGAACTGTCATAATACCGTGATTTTTAAAAAGAAGCACAAAATTCTGTGCAAAATGTGGATCGAAATGATTTCAGCAAAGACCAATCGAAACACGCTGTGCTTAGCTAATCACACGGTGCCTTGTATAACACAGGGACCAATTAAAAACATTCTTACTACACGCGCGTTGATTTCAATGTAAGATCGGATCCGCAGGTCACAGAACAGTATAAAATTATACCTGACACGGCGTACCAATCATTCATTTGATCTGAACTCAGAGAAGATGGCACGTACCAAGCAGACCGCAAGAAAATCTACTGGAGGCAAGGCCCCACGAAAACAGCTGGCTACCAAGGCAGCCCGCAAGAGTGCACCGGCCACCGGTGGGGTGAAGAAACCACACAGATACAGGCCAGGAACTGTGGCTCTCCGTGAGATCAGGAGGTACCAAAAGAGCACCGAGTTACTCATCAGGAAACTCCCATTCCAGCGCTTAGTGCGTGAAATTGCCCAGGATTTCAAGACCGATCTGCGTTTCCAGAGTTCCGCCGTCATGGCCCTTCAGGAAGCCAGTGAGGCCTACCTTGTCGGACTCTTCGAGGACACCAACTTGTGTGCTATCCATGCCAAGAGAGTGACCATCATGCCCAAGGACATTCAGCTTGCTAGACGTATCCGCGGCGAACGAGCTTAAACACCCTAATCTTGTCTAAGACAAACAAAAACGGCCGTTTTCACGGCCACCAAAACTCCTTAGAAAAGATACCTTCATAATACATCACACCAGAAACGTATATTCTTTGTACACAATATAATTCACTTGCAAAGATACACATTCATAGACACGCCAGTTAAAAACTTATTATCGATATGATTCTATAACCTACAACCTCATTGATCATATAATCCAATATTTCGATGACTGGCCTATCATCAAGAAAAAGTTCAGTTTTCCTGTGTTTAAACGTATTAATCTATGTGTTCGGGGGGACTAACTTATGATATTGTTTGATACGATATATCTATATTCTTACATTCAATGGAATCATCAATTAAAAAGTTATATCTTAAAAATGAGGCGTTTACATTAAATACATACATGGATTGCCACAAAAGTATGATAACGGTTTATAAACATTGATCAACAGATGTTACAGAGGGGCTTTGTAACACAATTTTTAAAACATTCAAACACAGAGTTTTTAAAGTAGGTTTTTTGAATCGGAATGAAGTAGATCAATAAATTTTACCATAATAGGCCTTGCATAGAAATAGAAACATATATATATATTTTTCTCTTAACTCAACATTAAAAAATACACATTAGAACAAAATGACATTCATCTTTTGATTTCGTTCCAAATACAAAATAGGCATTTTCGTTCATTTGTGGAACCAGAATCGATGCGCAAACAACGTGAAGATAATCTGAGTCTACTCAGTGCTGTTCTGTGTTTTGCATAATATATGTATACAAGTGAGATATTCAGCCTGGTCTGGTGCATAGTCGGGTTTAGATATTTAAGCAGTTTTAAAGGATGAACACTTTCTGTATTTACTCTGAGTTGAATGTAGGTGGGGACAACCAAACAAACGAAAAAGAAAAAAAAATCTTTACAGAAGGAATATCATTGAATCTCCTAACTGTATTTGTGGTCTAAATGAGGATGTTTATCATATTTTTCTTTGTTTGTAAAAGATATATAAGAGCAAGAAATAAGCTTTTTTGACCAACTTTTAAAGCTGGACGAATCGATTTAAATAGACACACATCTGCTGTTATGGGGTACTGACACTTTATATATCCTATGATATGAACTGTCTTATATTTTCAGCAGTTCACAAATTTATCAATGAATCTGGAAGATTTAATTAACATTTTAATTTATTAATCTTACTTGTTAATTTTATATACTTAAATCTGTTATTATTGTGACAATTATACTAAATGTATCAACTTTACTAACACCAGGAGAAGAACTTGTAAGTTGTAATAACTTGTTTCTGATCCCTTTGAGTTAACAATAAAATATGTTCAAATCAAATCAAAAAAGAAAACAACGGAACTATCGGCTTTCGGCTCTGTTTAAAATATAAAACGTTAAAATAATAATAATAATAATGAATGGACTTTTCATTAACTGACTCGGGGGAAAAAAAAACCCAAAACCAAAAAACAGATTATGATAATTTAGAACGAACTTAAACTGTCTGTAATTATGCAAGGCTGCTGGAAATGAGTGAATGAATGCAGAG